TTTTTTTTTTAATTTATTTATTTATGTACTTGAGAGATAGAGACAGCATGAGCAGGGAAGGGGCAGAGAGAGAGGGAGGGAGAGAAAATCCCAAGCAGGCTCCATGCTTTCAGCACAGAGCCCAGTGTGGGGCTCAAACCCACAAAACCATGAGATTGTGACCTGAGCCAAAATTAAGTGTTGGATGCTTAACTGACTGAGCCACCCAGCCTCCCCTAAGGTTTTTGTTTTTTTTTTTTTTTACTGTAAAATATCTTACATATAAAGGGATAGATATGACACATATATTGACTTTAAAGAATATTAAAATGAATACCCATGGACCCACCACCTTGCTTAGAAGGTCCTAGGGGTTTCTCCCCAAAAGTTTTTCTTCCTTTCCATCAAGAGGTAAGTAATATCTTGAATTTTGTATTAATTGTTTCTTAAAAATAGTTTTTTCATGTGTGTCTTTTTCTAAGCAAGGTATTGTTTAGTTTTTCTTGGAGATTCTTCACTAATTTTCATGCAGCCTTACAGCTTCAAGAAATGCTTTTTATTTTGTTAAGAAAGCACTTTGGGGAGCATGTATTCCTCTGCTTCTGGATAGCAGAAAGTGTGGGAGAAGTAGACAAATGAGCATTGCTATGCACTCTTTTTGGGGGCCAGCAGGTGGCAGTAAGACAACTTAAATTGGGAAGGTTTTAGTGGGTAAAGAGGTTGGAGAATAGTGATTGGGCTCAAACTGGATATGAGAATTTGGAGTTTGTGGATTTCTAAGCTCTGTATCCACATAGACTTGTGATAAATGTAAATGTAACTTCAGAGACTTAAGTTATTATAACATTTACAACGTGTATTTAAAAAATGTGTTCAGGGCACCTGGGTGGCACAGTCACTTGAGTGTCCGACTCTTGATTTTCTGCAGATATATAAAGGGGGCACTGGTATGACCTGGGGATGTTACTGACCTACTCTTTATCAAGCGAAGTCAGGCCGGACCCACATCTCTCCTAGCTGAGAATGGTATATGAATGCAAAGGGTTATTCAACAGTCTTAATAGTGTAGTTGACAGGTTTATGATTAAGTATTTAAATGAATACTGAAATATTTAGGAATGAATGTGGTTTTCTAAAGGTCTTTAATCACTGTGTAAAAGTTACTCTCTCCTTCCTGACTCATTTTTCTTTTGTGTCACAGCAACACTTTACGAGTCACCCGTTCTGCTGCCCCCAGCACACTGGACAGTTCCAGCACTGCCCCTGTTCAGCTGGGAAAGAAAGGCAAAGAATTTGAGTTCTCACAGTTGCCCCTCAAAGTGGAGTTCCTGGAGTGCAGTGCCAAGGGCGGAAGAGGGGACGCTGGCTCTGCTGACATCCGGGACCTGGAGAAATGGCTGGCTAAAATCGCCTGAGGGGCAGAGCTAAAGTGCAGGACAGTTGAACTTGTATGTGTGTGGAAAAGGGTGTGGTAGCCTTGAGTTGATAAAGAAGGGGTACAGAATGTAATAAGAAACATTTTCTTGTTCTGGAAACAAATTACTGTCGAAAGTAACTTGGAATTTTTGTTTTTAAGTTTAGTTCTCCCTCATTGCTTTCTTTTATTTGTGTGCTTCCCTTTGTTAAGGTGTTGTCCCTTTAACATAAGCTTGACGTAAGGTTAGGAGGGTATTATGAGAATATGATTATCATCTGAAAATTTCTTATCCTCTGCCTCTGTGCTTTAGTCCCTTTTGCTGAAAACAAACCCTGTCTGTGTATGGAACTAGTTGATTTCCATTTGTCCTTGGCTGGTTCACGGTCAATACATCATCTGGTCCTTTGTGAATTCTCAGATGTGTGGGTGTAGTTACAAGGTGGTCTCCTGACATGTGAAGACAGGTAGAAAACAGCAAGGCTGTGTTGACAGCAGGTCTGTTTTTCATCAGCTTGGTGACTTGTCCACACTCCAGCCTCATAACACTTAGGTTTCAAAAACATGCCCTGAACCCTTGGAGTCATTCCCAGATGACAGAACGGTAAATGCTAAATCCCCAATGCCAAGGGCCTCGTGTGTTCTGGTGGTTTCACTTAATTGAGGAGTCTGTGGAGATTTAGAAACTGTTGTGGTTTTCTGGATGGCCAAGGGCTCCTGGATGTGTTCGTGTGCTGTTTGGCCCCTGTTTTGTACTCCTAGCTAGAATGCAGTGGAACACATAGGAATGATAAAAGTTCTCCATAGTTTTAACCAGCAGTGAATATACACTTTAAAAAAGAAAAGTCAGCCTCAAAGTGATGCTCTTGGTTGTCTTCTTGAATGTTGGCTTTTTAAATGGCTTTTATAAATTATTAATGCGTTTCTTGGCAAATAAAATAACCTGTCTGGCTCAAAGCAATGAAATGGAACAGTATGGTGAGTACAAATGGGGGCATGTGTTAGGAAGGGTGCAGGCCTGGTTCCACATCTCCAGGGCCTGCAGATTGCAGCGTACACAGGAACAAACAGCTGTCCCTACTTCACACACTCAGGGACAAGCTCGGCCAAAGCTTCAGATGAGATCAGGGTGGCTGTGGCTAAGTGAAAAGGTAATCCCAGAAGAGTGTGGTCAGAGCATGATGGGGGTGTGGGTGCTCGGAAAGCACGCAGCACGGGCACCCACCCTGGCTCTGAGGGGTCAGGGGGAGTCTGTATAAACACGGAGCCAATAACATCCGAGTGCGGGAGGTCCCCGCATGTGCTACAGCCCAAGCCTCTGGCTGCCGTCACGTCTTCCTTTGAGTGATTCTAGCTCCGCGTGAGACTACAGCTCCCCTCTGCCCTCAACCCTGTTTCCTACACCTCGCTGCTCGCATATGGAATAAGTGCAGGCTGACACGGGGAAGACCTTGGACCTTGACCCTGGTAGAGTTATTATCCTAAAGCCTCAGTGCTGCTAGTGTTCTTTCTGTCCTTTGGATTCTTGGCTTTTGTCCTTATTAGCTAGCAGTGATTTAAGGAAATAGGTAAGAGTAACGAAGCAGAAATCAAAAAGGGTTGTGATAAATGTGACATGTTCACATAATCACAGGTGCTTGTGTGAATAAAAATCAATGGCCTGATGCTTCTGTTAAGAGGCATGTAATCTCTCAGTTTTGCTTTTTTGTTTTTTTCTGGTTAATAAATTGTTATACTTTATTGGAGGAGGCAATATACCAAAAAAGTGACAAGGGGAGCAAGGTTGAGTTGTCTTCAAGGCTGAAAGATGATCTTCCGAAGAAGTAATGTCGTACCTCAAACACTGATTCTCAGATGCTGGTGTGCGTCTGAACTGTCCGTGCTGCTTGTTAGCCCTTCTGAGGATCCTGGTCCTAAAGTTTCAATTCAGCGGCAGATCTGGTGTGGTGTCAGGAATCCGCATACTTAGTATATGCTTTACCAGGTACGTGGGCTCCTAGGAACACCCTCAGAAGTCCTCTGCCCTGGAGTATCACATGCACCTTCAGTAGGTTTTGTTTTTAAGTCTTTGGGCCATGAGCCCTGTTTAGTTCTTCTAACAGGATGAAATAAGCACTCATCCTGCTTCCTACTCCTGCGCTGCAGTCATTCCACTCTTGTGCATTTTGGGCCAGGATGAGATCACGAGGGGACTTCCCTCGGGTGCTGGGTAGGAGTTTTGATAGGTCACATGTGTTCTCTCCTCTGTTGGTATCCTCTTGTGGCCCTGCAGCCATTTCTTCATGAGGTGGGAGGCAAGTGTGGCCAGAGTGGAAAGAGATGTCAATCACGGGGGCTGGCAGACAAGGCACAACTGTATGTCACAGATGAGACAGTCATGGCTTGAAAGAGCTCCTTCTTGGGAACATAGCAGTGTCTGAGCCACTGGGTGTGTATGGGCACTGAGACCTGCCCCCAGGCTGGCTGCCACCTGATATGAATGATCCTGTTCCTTGATGAGGGAGAGGTGCAGACCGCGGGAGATGCCATTGTAGGGGGGTGGCTGCGATGAATACGCCCTGGGCCCGCCATTGCTTCTGGCATGCAGTCTTCCACAAGGTGTGGGGCACACTACAGACTGGGGGCTGGCCATCCTGTTCTTGATCCCAGCTCTTTTTTCAAGCCCTTTTCCAAGGGGGCCCCTCCACTGCCAGGCACCTGCCAGTTTGCTGGGGTCCTAGCCAACAACAGCTGTTGTTAGCGGGGAGTGCCTGGGTTTGCCACTTCTCTTGTCCCACGGTCTCTGTCTCGGCACCTCCTGGGATCCCAATGTCCCCCTGTGGTCCTGTTAATGTGCGAGGTGCTGACGTTCTGTTGACTTAAGATTATGTTTGAACTGAAATACGTGTTTTTGTTTGTGGTATTTTTGGTATATTTGTGTGTATCAGTATACTTACTTTGGTAGTTTTTCATTTGAGATTAGCAAAGGATTACCAAAGCTCCTTTCTCCACTCTTGCTCACTGGACACCAATACAGCTACAGTGATAAGGAAGGCCACCTTGAGCAGCATCACTCAGTGCCATGTGGGGCACTTTAGACAGGTCGTTCACCAGCGCTCTGTAATCTTCCCATTGGTGTCTGGGGAGCCCCAGCTGTGCTCTCTTCACCTGGCAAGGGGAGGGGTGCCGGACGGCCGTGTGGGTAAATGCTGTGTCCTCCTCAGGGAGATTATTCCTTCCCCTTGCTGTCTCAAGTCCTGTCACCCTGAGCACTATAATCCTGGGAAATGGCTTCTGGTCTTAGAACAGCTGGACTCTGGCTTTCATCTGGTGTGTGCACTTTGGCTGTCGTCAGGCCTCTGCCCCTTGACATCCCCTGTACCTCCTCTACCTCACATTTTATATCTGGCAGCCAGGAAGGTTAGGCTTAGTGGGCAGAGACATCTATTTCCTGTCCCTCCTAATTTAGAGGTACCTTCCTTGAGGTGGCAGATTAGAGGATATTCCAGAAACTTTAGAACTTTTGAAGGGAAGAGATATGTAGTGAAATTGAACTCGAACAAGAATGAGACCTGGTACTCTAGGAATCCCAGCATTCTCGGACTGGGGCAGTTCTATGCCTGATCTTGGCCTTTGTGTCCTCTTTGGATTGGTCCCACAACTGTCATGGCCTTCAAGGCATCTTTTAGTCTAGAGATGACTGAGCCCTGAAGGGGCCTCTCAAGGATATTCTCTACTTAGTGCAGGAGGAGTGGGAGGTTGTTTGTGGCTGCTTGGTGTCACCTCAAGAATGATTATGGTTCACCTTAAATTTTTTTTTTTTTTTAATTTTTTAATGTTTATTTTTGAGAGAGAGACAGAGCATGAGCAGGGGAGGAGCAGATAGAGAGGGAGACACAGAATCCGAAGCAGGCTCCAGGCTCCGAGGTGTCAGCACAGAGCTGAAAGCAGGGCTCCAACTCACAGACCGTTGAGATCATGTCCTGGGCCGAAGTCAGCCACTCAACCAACTGAGCCACCCAGGCGCCCCACCTTAAATTCTTTAAATGGCTTTCTGGAAATGATCAGAAGGAAGAGAGATTCAGTCCCTGTACCCACCCTTCAAACCCCCAGCCATGGTAAGTGGAGACCAGGGGTGACACACCCCTGAGTCTCAGTGCTGCCTGGGGCTTTCCCTTCCATCAGTCTTTAGGGAGAGTGGAGATCATGGAAATGAGTGTGGCTTTAACCTCATCAGTGTGCCTTGCTTTTCCCCCTTCCAAGTATGTGGAGGACCCAGGTCAAGAGGAGGAAGAAGCAGTGGGCTTTGGGTGGTGGGCCCAGCGCCCAGAGAGGAGAAGAGGGTCTTTGTGGAGCAGGCACTTGAAGAAATCTGTTTTTGCACCCCACACCCCATAGATGACTGCACCACTTAGAAACATCAGACAGGAGGTTTTGTGTTGAGAATCAGGACAGTTTATTGTTTGATCAACATGCTGAATCTTCCACATTTTACACAGTTTTATGTAAAGTCAATGTGGCCACTTACGCCTGCTGAGCCAGTAAAAGATGGAAACGCCACCCTCTGTGCTCCTCGTGGCCAACCACTTTTAAGGAGATGGGGGAGGGAAAGTGAGGGGACAAGTCGACACACCATGCGATGCTGGCTAGCCTTCCGTGTATGGAGCCTTCCCACTGGGAGGAAGCTCCCAAACCCCACTGTGAGGAGAAACCATGCCCTGCGGGGAGCGTCAGCCACGTAGGGCTCTGGAGCAGAGTTTACACATGAGAGCCCAACGTTTTGGAACACCTAAATAGTTCATCTGAAACAAAAATTCAAAGGGTGCCCTGGTCTGCAGGCGCCCATGACGATCAGAACGTACTTGGAGACCGGGCCTTGTTGGCAATGGAGGAGCGTGAAATGTATGTGCATTCTTTCCCAGCTTGCTCGGATACGCTGGACAGAACCTTACACGCTAACCGGAGAAGAGCTGGTCTGAGGAGCCCCCATGCACAGCAGCCCTTCCCGTGCAAGTGCACACGTTTGTACACACAAGTTGGCGATGAAGAATGGAGACACCTTGGCCCTGACTGCTTCTGACTTGCTGGGTGATCACGAGCAAGTCGCCCTCTCACCTCTGTCTCCCTGCCTGTGAGGCAGGAAGGGTGCCTGTGAGACCGCTGCCTCATGCTGCTGTTGCTGGGTGGCGACGCCTCCCACGCCTGGGGAGAGGTAGTCTGGAGACTAGAGAGCACACGGCCCTGCTTGGTCGCTGCACAAAGACATACTTCTGTTAGGTCACCCCTCACGTGGCTCAGAGCGGACTCCGTCCTTGGCTACCTGTTCTCACTTCCTGACATCCTCACCTGCCTTCTGCCGTGTGAAGGAATGAGGCTGCTCTACCTGCAGGACACCGAAGCCAGCGGTGCCATTCTGTCACACCTGGTACTTGAGGGCAGGGACGCCCAGCACCGCCTTGCCATCAGGAGGACAGAGCTGTTGCACTCAAGATATGTCTGTACACTTAGCTGCTGACATTTGAATCCTGGTTTCTGTTGCCTGAGACACTTGAACTGATCTGGCCACTGCTCCTCAGACCCAGGAGTGTTTCAGGATGTTTGAGGGTGCCTACGGGAAGAGAGTGGGGACAGTGATGGCAGAGAGGCCTCTTGACCCAAAGAGACTTGCTCACAGTCACCCAGCTTGTGAACCTTGGACTACACACTCAAGCTGCTGATGTCACACCTTCATTCTGGCGTGTGTGTACATCTATAAATATGCTCTCTGCTTCCTGCATCTCATGCTCTTTTCAGATGTCTGTGGAATAGGAGCTTTACTGCCAGCTTTTCTTTGAGACCCCCAAATTAAAAGAAAAAAAGGGGGCCTGAACACAATGACCCTGGCCGTCTCCCAGGTGAGGGCTAGTCCTCAGGGAGAAGGACTGAACTACGGCTTTGCCTCGTGCTGGCCCATCTGGATTTAGGATGTAACACTCACTAGGGATGCAGAGGCAATTTCATCACCTCTTCTTCAAGGGAATCTGGCCATTTGATGATTGAACCTTAACTCCAAGTCAAGATACCATCTACAGGCAAGAGAACGTTGATGGCACCTGCTCAAAACTAGAGCCAAGGAACCAACCCACGTCTGTGTGAGAGATCTGGCTGCCCCAAGAGACCAGAGAGTGAGGTGTGGAAACCAGGCCTGAGGGAGGGAGCGTCATGGGATGGCATGGCACCACTAAGATGGGAGGACAAGAGGAGACAACTGCCCCTGCCTCAGAAGCCGCAGGGCTAGGGAGAGCCTGGACTCGAGAGAGGACCCTGTGTATGTGTGAGGAAGGCACGGCTCATTGAGGCCACATCAAGCCAAATGACATCTGCATCTCTTACTGCTCCTAGGCTGTGATGGAAAGAAAAAATGTTCGTGGTGCCTTAAACTGTGCACTTGAGAAGGTAACTGAGTTTCTACTCTGTTTTTACAGTAATATTTAAGAAAAGCTACTCTTTAGTACCAAGAAAATTATAATCCACCATACATTCATTCACTGGGACCCAATGCAGATCCCAGCAAATGGGGCTGTCCCAGAGGCCACAAACAATGGCCCTCACTGCCAACCAGGCCAGGTGCTGTAATGTGGACTCCTAGAAATTCTCACGAGGTAAGTAAGCACTCTGTTGTTCCAACAAGCACCACTTGGGGGTGTGCCACGGTGGGGGGGTACTGGCCCACATGGGCGTGCACACCTGTGCATATAAGTATAGAGAGATACGGTGCACATATTCCCATGGCTGTTTTTGCCTGTAGTTTAACACATCTATGCATTAGTTTATTGATGGCAAGACAATCACAAGTTTTTTGACAATATTAAGTATTTCTTATTTCAACACGTTGCAGTACTTCTGAATTTCCAAAACTGTTATCACAATGCAAGTTCCAACTTGAGAGCAGGAAAAACAAGAATATACATTGAGCACATGTATCTCTGTGAGAATGTGTGGAAGGTGTATACACAAGTCTATCTCTATATATAATTATGTACACACATATAAAAACTAAACACATGACATCGGAATTACGTTCATACATCGGTCTTTGCCTACTAGAAGAGCTCAATGTGAATCCTGCTTCCTCTTTTCTTCACCTGAAGATCAATTCCTCTCTAAAGATCAGCTCTGACATACAGTCTCCTTAAACTGAAAGTGTGTGGCAGGCCCACGAGACAAATATCAGTGAGTCCTGCCAGGCTCTACTCCACTTAATTCGGCTGCCATTTTGGATTAGTTTCTGAGAAGTTCTAATGCAACAACTTTAGAGTTCTCCTTTGTGGAGGTGCACCTCCTACCGCTTCCAGATGGTCCTTTAGCTCACCTAGGACATGCGCACAGCAGTGGAGGCAGAGTCCATGCCAGCCTCAAGGGTAGGGTTTACCAAGTGGGGACAGAGTTTCTGCCTACTGCCTGGCTCTGTGCAGGTGCAGGTTCAGTAAGTGTGGGTCTATTTGGAATGCTGGCCAAATGGGGTTAAATAGAATTCTCTTCAGAGATTTTACAGGTTCTCAGGATTAAGCCCTTCTCAGAAAAGAGTCAAAATGGCAAGGACGGCGCTCTGGGCAGCCTTCTAGAGACCCCGCCTCAGCAGTACCCTCAGGCAACCAGAGTGCTGCTACGATAGCCACAAAGGTAAGTGCACAAAGATTACACCTGCATTATGCCAGTGGGGCAGAAATGTATCAGGTCAGCTTTTCCAGAACGGCACTCAATAGTATCAGCAACCGAGGATCTGCACATGCATCTTCAAGGTGGCAGTACCGCAGTCCACCCTCCCTTCCTCAATCACAAATACCGTGTGATACAGGCTCTAGCTTCCCAGACGTCCAAAGAGGAAGGCTTCAGGGTGGCACACACTGAGTTTCTCTTTGCCTTTCCCTTAGAGTCAACCCACACTTGTGGGCTGAATGATGGGAAAGTTGGTTAGAACATTTCAGAACCACACACGGTCCCCCAAGGCTATAAACCACACATGGACACAAGCCCACGGTTGCCGACAGCACCTCATCCTTCCTTCCGATGACCTCTTGATCTGCCAATAACTGAGTGGACCACAGAGAACACAGGTTGCCTGTGGCAAGTGCCTTCCACCCCCTTCAGGGCTTTTCAGAGAGGGGAGGGGAGAGGCAGGAGTAATTCCAGTGAGGCCTGCTGCCGGGCTCCCTGCTGTCCACAGGGTCTTAATTTCACCTCAGGGCCATGGCTAATGTCTCACTCTGGCCACGGAAGAAGGACAGAGTTAAAAGTTGCCTCTTCAGAGGCTGTTTTGTTCAGTGTTTGATTTAACCAGGTAGGGCCTGTTTGGTAGGGTCTGGGATTGGAGCCTAATTAAGTTGCCCAGTTAATTGTTGGAATTTATTGGGCTGGGATGGGAGGAGGGCAGAGGTGATTAACGGTTCAAAGAGGACAGGAAGGAGGAGGTGTGTGGAAAAGGTTCTCTGTAAGTTTACAAATATACAAAAACAAAAAGCACATCTTTTAAATAAAAATGACTACATTTTTATCTGGCAAAAAGTTGTATACACATGATTTTAAATTTTTTTTAAATTTTAACAGTTTTTGGCAATCTTAATAAAGTACAATATATTACAACCAAACCAAAAAATAGTTGTTTAACAGCTGTTAAGAGTGACGTGATCCCTGATGCCCAGCCTCCCTCCCCACCCCACCCTACTCCTAGAGACAGAGAGAAAAGAAAAATCCTCCCATCTTGATAAGCTCATTTCCCACCCCCCTTAGGAAGCTAACCAATAGGAAGCAACACAACAAGCGAGTAGTGTCAAAGGAAGCTGGCAGGTCAGGCTGCATTAGCAGGAGCAGCCGCCCTCACTGGCTGGGGGTTCCTGGGGTTTGTCCAGCTTGATGTCGATCACTGCAGGGAGCTGCGCTAAGGAAGATGACTCACAGAGAAACTACCACCCTGGCTCATGTCCCTGTGCATCCCTCAGCTGCCCCACACAGATCCTGTCTTTCCACAAACACCTAGGGACTTGGCTCTGTGCTTGGCCTGGGGAGGAAGGATGCAGGGTCACCAGTTCCCACCCCTCTTCTTCATACAATTCCTCACCCCTACCCACCTGAAGCAAAGCTCATTTGGGCTGTGGGATGACTGTAAACACAAGCAAGAGAGGCCCTTTCTCAGAAGCCTTCCTGGTGACCAGTGCCTCAGCCTTGTTTACCTATCGATCCCACCCTATAGATGTGCACTGGAGGTGGACAGCCCGCTGGCCAGGCATGGATTCCATCTCTTAGCACGGGGCTAAGTGTGCCTCGCTCTAGTCCCTCGCAGCAACACTGACCCCTCAGGCTCTAGTCAGAGCCTGTCACTTAGACTCTGAGGATGCTGCCGGGCGAAGCCACTTCCCCGGGGCAGGGCCTCGGCACAGCCCCCTCTCCAGCCCTTCCCACGGGTGCCCGGGGGCTGTGGGCTGGAGGAGCACTGATCAGAACCACCAGAGGAATGGGTTCAAGATGCACAGCCAGGCTGCCACTCCTCCCACACTGGCCTGATCACCACACAGAAGGCCTCTTCCCGGGCAGCGCTTTGAGGCCTGCTGCAGGCGTCCCGGGATGTTTCTGTGGCACCTGCTTAAGGACTAGGGGAGGGACTCTTTTGGCTTTAAGTACTATAAAGAGCCATGCTTCTTCTAAAGGTCACATTTTCTCTCCTTGCCACTTTTTGGCCATGGCGTATATTTTGAGTATTCATTTATCTCTGATTTTTCCTACATCTCAGTTTTCTTATGTGTGTGTACGCAAATACGTTTTTATCTTGTGTATATACGCATGAACACTTTTTTTTTTTGTAACATGGCATAGTATGTATAAATAACTGCCTTCCTTCCCACTGGGAAAAATCAAGACTACCTCTCTGCATCTCAATTTCAGCTTCTGAGTGTCACCTGAGGTTTGGGGTAGACCGTGCAAGCGGCACGCGGACCTTGTCCCACAGAGCAGTGGACACTATGGGGCTGTGCAGGGCTGGGCCGAGGAAGCAAGCAGGATGTGGTAGGAAGTGTGTCAGGTAGAGCAGGTTGAACCATGTTCTGGATGTACACGGCCTTCCTGCGCAGCAGACACTCTACTTGTATCCATGAAATACAAAGTGATGTTCACTGTAAACATGGGCAAAGTTACTATTTTTCACTCCCTGCCCTACACTGTCACTCACATCCCTGTGTTACCCAATCCCCCACTGCTTTACAAGTAGAAGCTTAGGCTGTTAGAGCTGGATGAGGTGTTCAAGCCCTTGGAGTTCAGCCCTGTCCTGGCACAGAGGAGGCCCCACATCATACTCACCAGCAGAGAAGGATGGGCTGGAGACGAGGCGAGGCTCTCCCACTGCTCTAAAATACTAAGTGAATACATCAATGGATAAATGGCTTCTCCGGCATCTTTCACTCACTTACCACTTACCAAAGGAAAAGGATACTCCCTTCTTTGCTTTTCTCCTGGACATTCTCCATTCCAGGCAGAGCTGACGCCACACGTCGGAAGAGCTGGAGGGGGAGATGCAGCATGAAACCCATCCCTCCTGTCCCCACAGCTATGTCTCTACCCTCTTGCCTCTTCTTGTCCTGACCCCGGGCCTTGCTTTCCTGTCTGTCCTGCTAACTGTGCCCTGGAGGGCAGGGGCTGCACCTAACCTCTCTCCCTTGCCCATAGCACCTGTCATAGGTCTGGGCCCTGGCAGGGCTGTCACCCAGGCAGGCTGGCCATGGGTCACCAGGAGCTGTGTATCAGTCATGGTGACTGTGAGGGATCTACCCCAGTGCAGAAAATAATCTAGGCCCTTAGGTGGGCTCCTGTCCCACTGGCCATGTGGGGCACCAACTTTTAACCTGCCCTCAAGACAAATGACCCTCTCCTCAGGGGGTTCTAGGAGTCCACAGGCATCAAGGCAGAAGGGTACTGGGAGCCAGGGCCACACAGTCACATCGGAAAGAGAATTCTGAGAGAAGAGCACACAGGAGTGAGACCGTGACATTGTGGGTTTGGGTGTGGGTGTTAGTGTGATGTGTATGCTGTATGTGGAGGCATATGTGTGGAGTATGTGGATGTGCGGTATCTGTGAATTTGTGTAAGTGTGTGAGGGAATGTCTGTAGGGCGTGTGCACATGTGGGGCTTCTGTGTAAGTCTGCGTAAGTGCACAGGGAGAATTGTGTGTGTGTGGTGTGTACGCCCGTGTGCATGCATGTGTGCGCGTGGGGATGTCAGGTGCGGCAGGCATGGAACCTAGGAGGTGACAAGCACAAAGCGGAAGTTTAAGGCACCGGAAGATTCTGAACACCCCCTTCTCCTCCACCACATACACCGACTCCGGAGACTCAAGTGAGATAAGGTAGGTCTTGTTCATGGTCTCACCCTAGAGCCCAGCTCTATGAGAGCACCCAGGTTGGTGGCAGGGCCAACAGTAGTGAGGACCCGAGTGGGGAAGTCACTGGTAGGGCCTGGCGGCGTATGGGACCCTCTGGGCAGGCCGCAGAGGAGGCCCCAAGTCGGGCAGGAAGAAGTGAGTGAGGGTGCTAAGGGCCCGGTCGCTCCTCTGGAGCTTTCCTTCATGGTCTTCCCCAGGCAGCCCTGCTCTGCCTGTCAAAATGGTCACAGCCTCTGCCACCAGCCAAACTGGCAGCTAGAAGGAACCTCCTGGGGTGCCGTGTGGGGTGTCTGAGAGCAGAATAATCAGGCTTAGAGTCCAGGAGTCTGCACTGCATGAAGACTCCTGAACCAAATGGGGTTTGGACAGACCACATTTAACTCCTGCTTAAACCATCATCTGGGTTCCAGAGCATGGTAAGATAACAGAGGCATCAGCATCTCCCTGCGCCTGACCCCTGGGGCAGAAGCTACCCGCCTTATGGACTGCTGTCTGTGGTTTCCCCGCCGCCCATGACTTCCCATCAGGGCCACACACAGCAGCAGTTCAGTGCCTCCTACATGCTCCAGGGACAGGCAGCCCCTGCTCCAGGAGATGCCACAGCAGTGGTGGGAAGGGCATGGGCGTGAACAGAGCCATGACAAGGGCACTCCGGGCACCATCCATGTCGGGTGAACCGTCACTGCATCCAGAGCAGCTGCTGCATGGACAGCCTGATGTAGCGCTCCCAGGCACTGCTGGGGTGGGGGTGGGGGGGCAGGGTGGAAGTGACACCCTTGCGGAGCCATGCTCTTCACTGAGCCCACTCCCTATGCCGCAGCACCCCTCCTGTTGGCACCCGCGCTCACGGGTTACCCTTGTCTGCAACACTCTCCTTCCTCACCTCTTCAAGCCCTCTCTTCCTTGAAGGCAGGGGCTCCTAACCTTTCCTGAACCAAAGACCCCTCTGGCAGTCTGCTGAAGCCTATGGGCTCCTTGTAAGTGTGTGACATCAGTTCTACAGGAGTTTAAAAATGAACTGAAATACACTTATAAAATCTCTAAAGACAAGTTTGTTACACAGCAGCGAATCTGCTTCCCCACGAGCATGTTAAACAGCAAGAGCTGGCAGCAGGTCCCGTAGTAACCCCTTGAACTGCAGTGGCAATGTGGGGAAAGGCCGAGGGACCCGTCACACCACAAGGTGACAAGAACAGGGCTGGGATGTCTACTGTGATGAAGTCACAGGCACTGCCCCCCTCACGGAGTCCTGTTGCCTGCATTCATTGCTGAAGGAAGGGCTGAAGAGCAGTCAGAGGTCAGTGAAGACGGAGGGGTAGCTTTTTCCCACCCAAGTCCGCTGACCTGCTGATTCCCACCGGTGGACTCCTTGGGGGTCTGGGGACCTAGGGAGCCCCCTGCTGCGAGGCGAGTAACCCCCACTATGGCTTCTCTGATGGGCTCAATTTCCCAAGCCTCGCTTCCTGCAAGCTCCAACTGCACCATGGGCGGACTCCTTTCTCCAAGCCCACCCGGCCCTGCACAGCCCTGAGCACTTGCCAAGCACGAGGCCATGAACCCCAAAATACTGGTTGAACTGAATTTCCTGTACCCCCTTCCCAAATGAGGCAAGATGCCAGGGAAATGCTGCCCCTCTCACCTGGAAGTTGGTGGCTGGACACACAGCATGTTACAGGGGCCCCGCAACTGGCTGCCTGAATAGTGGCTAATGATGACATACTGCAGACACCCTCCCCCCGAGAGCGAGCACTCTTTCCCTCTTGTGTGCCTTCCCAGCTCTGAAGGTTGTCAGCTTGTTTCCCATTAGGTGGGGTTTATAGTGCCCAGGCTGCCTGCCCCAGCCTGGTCACCAGCCCCTCAGGCCCACGAGTGATGTGGCCCTGTGGCCCGGCTGGCTGGACTCAGCGCCAAGCGCATCCTACCTGCTTCACATTGTAGCCAGTCTTGGCGCTGGTCTCGATGAACATGACGCTCAGTTCTTTGGCGCGCTGCTCCCCCTCCTCGATGGTTATCTGCCTGCGAGTGAGGGGAGGGGGGAAAATGAGCCCCCGGTAGAGGCAGAGGGAGCAGCCTGAGATGAGGAGGGCCTGGCCCACTAGTCAGCCCTGGGGACAGGGCTCCGTTCCAGGGCCCCCATCCAGCACGAAGGGCAAAGGGCACGGCTGGACACCAGCTCTCCCCTTCTCCTTCCACAGTGCCTTCCCTCTCAGCAGCAGGCCCTGCAGCGGGCAGCTGGCCTTCCCATACCTGCCCGCCCCCCAAGGGTCCACCATCCCATGCAGCCACATCTAGAAAGCACTTTGAGCCACATATCGCCTCTGGGGTGGTGTCAACAGTCCCGGTTCCACAGGAGGACAGTGAGGTTAGAAGTGACTGCCTCAACCTCATATGTAGGGCTTACTTAACAACATACCTGTGCTTTGAACCTCATTCCCCTTACGTCAAGGACAGGACCCCACTAACACGGGCTCTGAGTCAGATAATTCTGTAGATGGTCAGAGCACACTTCACGAAGCTCATAGTCCAGGACCCGTTGCTTTATCTGACTGAGTCAGGTCCCATGAGATAAGTGGACGAATGCACACAGGTGGCACCTAAGTCAGCCCTGTCTGTGCACTGGAGGCAGCCACGGAGCAGCCTCTTTGGAGGAAGTGTCCCACCCAACCAGACACAGCAACAGACAGGAAATTCTGCATGTTCACACCTGGGGACCAGAACCCTCACACCAGCGCAGGCATCTCATGGGCAGAGACAAAGCACAAGCAGAAGCCCACGGAGGCCTGAGGGACTGCTGTCTGCAGCTGTGTTGTGGCCACGGCCAGGCCCCAGACCACTCCATGCAGACGTCCCTCAGAGCAGTGTCTCTACCGGCAGTGGAAGGTGGGGCTTCAGAGCTGAGACACTGTGGGGCAAGGGTCTACCAGGTGCTCTTGGAGCCTCCAGTGCCCCAGGTGCATGGGGACAGATCAGAAGCACAGACTCGCCACTCACGCGATCCCAGAACTCCTTGTCCAGGAGGAGCTGCGGAGCAGTGGAGGGTGGGCCAGGCCCGCCAGCACCCTGCACCTTTCACCCTCACACCTACCTCTTGTCTGCCAGGTCCGTCTTGTTGCCCACCAGCATGATGATGACATCGCTGCCCCTCTCTGTCCTGACGTCATCAATCCACTTCGAGGTCTGCTGGAAGGAGTTGAGATCTGGAGGCAGAGTGGGGACACAACAGAGTGAGAGCCAGCCCGAGCGGGGCGAGGGGGAAGGTGGGAAGGGGCAGCAGGAAGGAGGGGGACTGTGCATCCTCATACCCAGACCACTGGGTCTGGGCCTTCCAGGCTGGGGACCCATGCGTCTGTGGAGTTGCTGCCTCTGGGCCCTGCAGAGACCCTCATGTGGCTGACCCACTCCCTGGAAGACACCCTGTTGGAAGGTCACTATCATAATGTGCTACACGGACTAGTGGTTTTAGGGGCCCACCTGAGAATCAGAACTGACTTTGGGGGCTCAGAGAAGAGCATGAGAAATGGGTACACTGGACTTGGCTGAGTTTGGAAGTGTGTGTGTTGGCAGGGGGACCATAGGAGCCCCTGGGGAGGAAGGCCCTACCGAGTGGCTTCCCACTGAGGGGAGCTCAGGTTGGCTGGGGAAAGGCCAGATTTCCAAAGAGAACCCTCAGGATCTGTGAGCAGGAGGGGGGAAGGCGGCCCCAGGAGAGACGAGCAATGAGAGATAAGTCCGCTTCAGGGCAGCCCTTTCCTCAGAAGACGTGGGGAGTAGTTGCAGGGTGATGTCCACCCCTCGGCGGCGCACACATCTGAGGGGCTGAGGGGAGGCAGCCTATCTCGGGAAGCCTCGGTTTACCCCAGCCTGCTCTCTCCCCTGCTCCTGTCAGGCTGCACAAACCCAGGCTGAAGGCCCCATCTCTCACCCGTATTCAGGGTAGGTGGGGAGCCTGTAGTCAGGGAGGGATGGAAAGAAGGGCTGGGCGGAGCCAAAGACCACGGACTCGACTC